GTAGTGGGACAGCGGGCGGGGATGAAGGTGTCCGGGGACATGGGTCCGTGGGTGTTTGGATGGAGCCGTGTGTGGCACCTGCGGATGTGTGCCCCGAGTGTGTCGTGCACATCGTCACGCTCCTCCGAGGCTCGTACAGCATGCGAGTCTACGTCCCTGCAGAGAGCATACCCATGCAGACGGTGCAATTTTTGTTGCTGTTAAGTGCTGCCATCGACGGTCCTTCGCCCCCATCCTCATCTTTTGTGGTTGCCATGCACGTGTGCATGCGATCCATGTGTCGCTCGGTTACGCGGCTATGGAGTCGGGCGGGCTCAAGTCCCACCTCTTTTGCTGATGGCCGGCGGATGTTCTGGGAGGGATGTCGACGAGCTTCATGGGGTGCATGCAATCACCATCTTGTTGCTTGCGCCAGGATCGCAATCCCTAATAGAGTGGCGAAGGCTGCGAGCGACGTGAGGCGGGTTGTTGGCGGTCAGTTTCTCCCTCCCGTGCTTGTGCGGCCATCTCCATCAGCTTCATGTGGACAAATGAGCAGTGATGTCGCCAGCCAGGGTGATCGACTCCTCGGCGTGCTCCCTCATTTGCGATTTGCCCAAGAAGGGGTGAGTGCGCGAACCTGTCATTCTCCTTCCACACGTGTGGTTTTGTTCAGTCCGACGGGGGTGCGGAGACGCGAGTGGGACGAATGGCAGGCGGGCTGTTCGTCTTGCTGTTGCTCTTGTGCACAGACATGCTTCGCACCAGCTTCTTGTGGTGTCCACATGCCTAAAGCCCACGTCCGTCAGTGGTGGTCGACTGTCGTCGTGGCCATCGTCTTCTTCTTCATAGGTGCAATCATTGCCATCATCGTGACGTTGTTCGTCTTCCTTGTCCTGCTACTGGCCGGCCTCTGCATTTTGTTGCGTCAGAAGTGTAGCTGAAGGCGGTGCGGGCAGGCGTTTACGTCGCAGGAATGGATGACAGTGGATGGGCGTCGAACATACCCGGTTCAGAAGGGCCACGCAGCCGGTTTCCGGGGTACATGCAGGATGAGAACCTCGGTTTCGAACCCCGGCTCTCCATGGGGTTGTCATCTATGACGTCGGACCTGGAGATCTTGGCTCGGCATGCCACTCAATCACCCGCACACATGCGTCTCTCGGTTACCTTCGCATCCGGCATGGATGCACATCCAGACTAGTTCCGGACCTCGGTACGGGCATTCGTCCTCCACCTTCGGCAGCGATGGGTGGAACTGCACGTGGCCCCGTTGACAGTACGTGGATTTCGGTGGCTCCGAGTCCGCAACCTTCCCAAGGCGGTCGCTGATAGAGTGGCCACCAGGAAGGCTAGGCCCGCATGAGGTCCTCTACACCGGTCGATAACGCGGACAACATAGAAAGGCTATGGCAAACGACGCCGCCTCCTTGCATCGTCATGGCCATGGCCAATTCATTGTCGCGTTGTGGCAAAGCAACAGCCGCTTCGAGGACAGTCATGGCTGCCACATTACGTTGACTCACCCACTGGATGACAACGACCACGAAAAACAACAACCGGTCTTCCCACTCGTCGTCCATGTCTCCACTTCTCTGCCTACCCCTACCTCCCTATCATGTGTCCAAGCACCCCAACACCCCCAACGACACTTCTCTTTTGTTTGCGATGATACAGAGATGGCGGCACGGCACAGCGGACGGAGAAGGGGACCGTCAACGACAACTCGCACCTTCGGTCACAGCATCACGGTAGAACAACGGCACAACAAACCAGGCATTCAAAAAATGCGGCCGTTGAACCATCCTTCCGGGGGTCTGGGGTAAAAATGTATTCTTTTTTTGTCGAGCGCCCCCTCTTCCCTCCCCCACCCGTTTGGACCTTCCGGTGTCGCGCAATTTTACCCATTGACGCGACAGCGTCACCCACACGGTCACACGTTGGTGCACACGAAATGTGCCACACGCCTATACGTGTAGACCCAGGAATAAAAACGGAACAGGTACACTTTCCTTTCCGGGAGAGTTCGGGGTCGACTTTCCTGTTCGGGAAAGCATGGAGCGGAACGGACCATAATTTCACAGTGGCAGTGGGGTCCCCTGTTCTGCTCGCTTTCCATTCACGGCGACCTCACGCTGCCAACTTCCCCCAGACCGTTTTCCTGGCCGCTAGCCTGTGGGGTCCCACCCTAAGTGTAGATTGTCACCTTTATCAGATAACCAGTTACTTTCTTTGTGCGAGTCATGGGATTTCTTGCGGGGCTTTGTATGTAGCGTGCTTGCATTTCCTTTGTGTGCTAGACACAGTCTGTTAGCGTTGGGACTAACACGGCCCAGCGGACCCAACCTCCTGGGTCTGGGTCATGTCCTACCTTACACTCCCCTATTAGCCCATTGCGGCCATGAGCAACCGAGTGTCCAGGTTATTGTTGTTGTTAGTTGCAAGAAAGAAAGACAAAACAGTGTTTTCGTTAAAAGTGAAATTGTTTTTATGTTCACTTTTTATTTCAAGTGTAAAATGGCACACAAAGAGATGAGGAAAAGAGAAAAAAAACGATGAAACAAGGCGAAATCGTAAAAGCTTAGCATTGAAAAGTTTCAGAAATACATCATTATACAATAACATTTTGAAATTGTGGAAAGCAATACCAACCATTGAAATTATTCTTAACCATCAACAAAGTGTTGAACGACACATACCAACCGTTGAAACTATTTTTAACCATCAACAAAGTGTTGAATGATATCATAAGCCGCGTATCTAGAATGTTCACTCATGCTCGACCATCGACAAATGTTGAATGCGATTCTATGCCTCATATGCGGGATGTTGTCTTGCGAGAATTTGAATGGAGGGAAGTGGCCTTTCGCTAGCAAAGATGCAAAACCGAACATAAAAACACCACAACTACAACCATCATGTCTGATGGGCACCCCATCAAGCCATGTCTCGAAAGATGTCGTAACTTCTCATAAGGTCGTCCATGTGATATCTTTCATGAAGATTTTAATGTTGGAACTCCATTCTAAAGAACGCGACTAATAGTCCAAGCAGTGCGAGGCGGTCAGCATGACGGAGAGAGTCTACAAGGCGGAATTCATAATTGCAACCGTCTATTCTAACACATGCCAAAGCTCAGTGGTTTTCAAAGTTAAGAAGGATAAGTACAAAGTTGAAATCAAAAATATTTTTTTCTCTAACCCACTTCATTTCCTCATTTGGAATATCCATAAATTTTTGGAATTCAACGGTGATGAACTGTATCTCGCTCTTTTGGGTACCGTCAGTATTGAAGTCCATAAATAAATTTTTCCTGAGATGCAAAGTCGCTGACGCACTTGACGACGGTTGCAATCTTGATGGTCGAGTGACAGTCTTGGCTTTTGCCTCGTCGTCGAACTGCGGTTGTTCAGACGCGGGAAAAACAGTCGTCTTCTCCGTTGTACTGCCCTTTGCTGCTTTTTTTTCCCTCATCGGCTTTTGTTTGGCAGCAGCTTCTGCATCGCGAGTACGTTGGACTTCATCCATCGGGAAAGGTTGCACCTATCTTTTTTAAGGTTGCTCTTTCCTGCTTCTTTTCGGGTTGTGATTTTTTCTCCTCTCCTGCCTAGCTTTCCTTTTCTTCTCCTCAAGATCTCTAACAGCTGCAGGGGGCGACGAAGGAGTTCTCCCTTTCCTTTCTTCTCCTCGAGACTTTTTCTCCTCTCCTGCGTAGCTTTTCAACTGCTTTGTGGTGCGCAGCGTCCTCATGCCGATCATGTTCGTGCTCCTGAATGTCGCCACAATGCTCGTCATCACTATTGTCCCCCTGGTCGACGTGAAGCTCCGCTGGAATGTATGAGTGTCGTGCTTCTTCTTCATCCTTGACCTTGTGACTCCGTTGATGACCTTCTCTCTCGCTAATAGAATTTTCACTATTCTCTTTTTCCTCTTCGTGACTTTCCCTACTTCGCTCCTGTGAATCTTCCTCTTCCTCTTCTCTCTGTGTACTCTTTGCACTGCTCCCTTCCCACACATCTTCCAAATACAAAGGCTTGTCATATCCTTGCACAATGGCACCGCGCATGCTCGAGGAACACACAATGTCGCACATTTGCTGAGTGGCTCTTTCACTGCTATTGGTAGAATCTTCTTCAACGATGGCGGCGCAACCTGTACATGAGCAGGTCCCTTCGCAGTGATCTGTCCTGCTTTTGGAACAAGCGGCGTGGACTCTGACGACCGAATCGATATGGCACCTACAGTTGGTCGCACGGATATCCCTTTGAGTGCTCCTGAACACTGTCCTAGTGCAGCTGCTGACATCACACTTTTTGGTTCCGTCATAATGTCATCTTTATGAACCTTTGTGACCTTGAATTTTATTCCGGTCGAAAAAGTCGAAAACCTGAACAAGATCGGACAATTTCAGTTCTTGATTTGCATCCGGATTGAACATATCCACGAGTGATTTACCATATCCATAATGTTTCCTCCACCGGACAACAACATGTCTGATATTAGGAACTCTCTCGCCTTTGTCGTTCAGCATAGTCATCTCGAAAGTGGCAACCGGACGTGGCCTGCATGACCAAGACGCTATACTACGTATCGGTCTGATTTGGTCTTGTAAGACGACATACATAAGAAGACCGCTATCAACTTACCAAACATCGCCTGCCCAGTCCAACATTCAGAATTTGTCCTCGTAGTCAACGACGGGCACTACCTCGGATAACCCATGGACATACTTCTTAGCGGAGCCTGCATGCCCCGTTGTCTCTTGTGCATAGTTTCACCGACGACCACCAGACCCTTCACCACGATCACTAGACTCTTCACTACTCCCCGTCGTCCAGACAGGCAATGCGACCTCCCTGTCTTGATCAGATCCTCTAAGGCGACTCATCGGACCTGAAAGAGGTGTACCTCGCTACACAGGCTTCTGCATCACGGAGCTTGATGACCGGTGCTGCGCAGTCGCCTTAGACGTTGACGTCTCTTCTTTCTCGACCCCAGCAACCAAGGATTCCTTCCACTTTTTGGGCGAGTGCTCGACACTCGCACAACTCCTGGTCCTTAAGCGTTCTTCTTGTTTCTCTGCAACATCCATTCTGTATAATCCACGAGAAACTAGTAATAACGAAGCTGCCAGGCAAAAACCGATCAACAACGCAAACACAGTAAATGAGAAACGCCTTCATTTATGGGTCGGACATGCATCCAGTTCACTGTCTCGAATACTTTCATCGCGACATCATCGCGTCGAACACGATAAATCTCCTTCAGACGATATTTCTTAGGAGGGTGGAAAACCCCGGACGGTGACACCTATCCGCCCTTCGTGATACAACAACCTTCTAAGAAGCATCGTCGTGTCGGACACCACGAATCGCCGGTACTCACCCGCCACGCGAGATTAACAGCCTCCTAAGAAGCATCGTCATGTTCGACCATCAATCCCCTTCCGACAATTATTTTTAGGCCATGTTCGACAGTGTAATTCCGGACAGTGATACCTACCCGCCCTCTAGGATTGTCGTGTCGAACACGACAACAACCTCCTAAGAAGTATCGTCGTGTTCGACATGACGAATCCCTCACACCCACCCTCCCTTCGGGAATGGTTGTGTCGAACACGACAACAACCTCCTTAGCAACATCATCGTGTTCGACACGACGTATCCCTTACACCCACAAGCCCTCTGGTGTCAGGACTTCAACATGATGGATCCCTGGACGTGTTGAAGTCGGGACACATACAACGACGTCCTCTGGGATGGTCGTCTCGAACACGACAACAACCTCCTTAAGAGCATAATTGTGTTCAACACGACGAATCCCTGCCACCCACAAGCCCTCCGGTGTCGGAACTTCGACACGACGGATCCCTCGACGTGTTGAAGACGGGACACATACAACGACGACACGATTTCGATTGACATAGTTACGCAGGGCATCAACATCCCGCCAAACCATCGAGGCGACAACATCCAGAATATTCGTCGTGTTGGAGTCGATAACAAACGCGAATGCATGATATACAACCATGAGTATCTAAGGACTCATCGGGCGGTCATTCACAATCCCTGCTCGTCACGTGACAGTCAAATTCACATTTGTAGCATGAAGACATGTACCATTGACAACATTTAAACAACAGTCAAAAAATCGAAACGTTTTGTTCATTAGACCACGGATATAGAAAGCAAAATGTTTCGAAGGCATGTACCATTGAGAACATTGACCAATAGTCAAGAAATCGAAACATTTTATTCAGAGGCCACGGATACACAACAAAAAAATTTCCTAGAATTAAATAATCATTCTAGAGTAAAATTACATTCTAAATTTCAAATTTTCATTCCATTTAAAAAAATGTCATTCTAATTTTAAAAATTTTCATCTTACTTGAAAACTTTCATTCCAAGAATGGGGTATCCCTTCTTATTTGAAATGCATGCTAGAGATGGAATGAAAGTCTGGATAATTTCATGAAATATTTTAATTGGACTATCATTCTAAGTAAGGATTTCCAGTCATAAATAAGTTAATCCAATCTAAATTAGAAAATATTTGTTGTAGTAGAATGGAAGTCTGATTAAAATATTTCATAAACTCGTCCAGACTTTCATTCCATCTTGAACAAATAGATGTAGTTGGAAGGGAAAACTCATATTTAGACGGGAACTTATCAAATTAAATTGAAAGTTTTAGAATTGGACGAACATTGGAATGATAATTTATAAATATGAAGGAGTTTTTTTTTATAAAATATTTTTTAACTTCCATTTCTCGTGGGAATTTTTCTGTTGCAGAAAACCAAAATTTGACCGATTGAACCAAAAGATAGACTAACTTCAAATCATTGACAACAAAAGCGCTAGACAACTAACAAAACCGGGAAACTGGCAGGCTAATCATTTTCATCTACGGTCGCAAAAAAAAAACCTGTCGAATATGCAGAAAGTCTACCGATGACAGCGAGTTGTCGTAGTCATGTAGTCATTGAACATTTTAATTAGCGATTCGAACGTCAGATGTTGTGGTTCCTCGGCGGAAGCGTCATCCGCAAACACTGACTCAGAAATATATTTCATGCGGACGAAGCCGGACCTGCCGACCAGAGAACTGCCTATAGCATTCCATATAGACGACACTTTTGTTTCAACTTCGTGCCATGCATCAACATCGTCCACCTTACCGCCGATCACTACATCCCATTTCCCTTCGACTTCTCGTTAAACTAAATGATGCCTCTTCTAGCCATTTCCAACTCATGCCTGGACACGTACACCACAACGTCAGTCAAGGTCATACACTGCTCGAGGCGATAGCCCAGGAGATCGCAAAGGATACTCATCCAGGAACTTAGAATGCCAGGCACAGTCAAACAACTCTTGTTTCATCGCACGACACCATGTGCACAGCGAGGCAGTCACATATTGACAGTCCAACAGACTGTAATAGCAATCAAATTTCAGCTTTTTACATAAGTGATGCAGTCGCACTGGACCGAGGATATCATGGGGCACGAGAATATAACTTCCCCACTCAAGCATATTAGCGAACTTATAGTCCTCTGCCCATGGGCATTGGGCACTCCCTGACCATCTTCTCCCACTGAGGCTCTCTCCAGGAGTCCAAGTGATTATCGATGTACAGCATGACCGTCATCCACGGATCAAACTCGAAGTTCCCTGTACTCGTACCGTTGATCGCAGTAGACTTTCGAGATCTGCTGACGCGTAGCGCGCAGGGAGGGAAAGGGTGTGCCAAGCGTTCATGCCAAATAGCAGGGGTCATTCAGTGTGAGATGTCCATTGCGACTCCGAAGCGCCCTGCAGACCACAATCACAACAATTAGCAAAAGCACACGACCCATACGAAAACGAACATAACGATGCTCCCAAAGGACGGTCGTGTCGAGCAAGGCGATGCTCCCAAAGGACGGTCGTCGACAACCCCCTCAAGAGCGATCGTGTTCGACACGACGATAACATGCCTTGCAAACGGCCGAAGTGCATGAGGGACGGTCATCGTGTTGAACACGACAAACACCCCACTGCAACACAAACACAGGGACACGTCGTGTCGAACAGATAACGCCCTGAAGGCTGAAACCAAACCGAAACAAGTGACCCATTTCCACAACACATCCGGTGCCCCGGTACCTCACATGCCAACGAGCTGCACATGTGAACGAGAGTCAGTCTACCGCATTCCCCCCTACATCTGCAAGAAATCCAGAACTCAAAAGCAGATGAAACACTCAGTGTAGTCGGGACTGTTGTTCCCTTCCTTGCTTCGACCAATGGCAATATAACACCCACCCACGAGCGACAGACCAAGTGTTGATCCGAGTCCCAACAAACACGCCCGCTGAAGCAGCCCTTGCCTCGGTGCTGTGCAAACCTAACCCTATGAAAAAAGGGCACCATCGTGTCGAACACGACAACCTGCCAAAGGGCGATCGTGCTCGACGCGATGACTTCCATTAAAAGAAGGCCGGAGTGCCTGATGGAGGTCGTCGTGCTGAACGAGACAACTGCCCAAAGGTTCTTCAACAAACACCCCCGCTGCAACAACCATTGCCTCGGTTCTGTGCGGACCTTGCCTTATGTGTGGTAGGGCACCATCGTGTCGAACACGACAACCTCCCGAAGGGCGACCGTGTTCAACACGATGACGTCCATTGAAAAAGGTCGGAGTGCCCGATGGACGGTCTCCCCTCCACAAGCCCGGATTGCCCGAGGGACAGTCGTCGTGTTCAACATGACAACTGCCCAAAGCTGGATCGTGTTCGGCGTGACGACGACATCCCTTGCACAAGGCGAGAGTGCCCGAGGGAAGCTCGTCGCCAGAGACACGGGGACCCCTCGTGTCGAAAATAATGAAGCATCCTCTACACAAACGATGTGTCCTTACCGACTTGGTAGTGCGCGGAACATGGTCGCTTGTTTTGGCGGTGGCTGTCGTGTTCAACACGATGACCGACCCTAAAACACTTATTCTCAGGGCGAGCTACAAATAGATCATCGTGTCCAACACGACAACCACAACGGCTTCGTGTTACACATTCCTTGCATGAGACGCCGACATTAGACGATCATCCGTCAATGCCTCATTCCAGGAGCCGTGCTAGCTAGTGGGCATGAGATGTTGACGGACGGTCGTCGTGTTGAACACGACAATTGTGGGAATGACACATTGATGGATGGTCGTCGTGTTGGACATGACAACCACCACCAGTATAGCAGTGACGCAACACTGCCTTCATGTTATGTAGACCTTGCCCAAGGCTGCACAACACTCAGGCCGCGTTTAAGGTCGCCGTGGGCAAGAGACGTTCACAGTGGTTGTCGTGTTCGACACGACAACCATGGGAATGTGAGACATTGACGGACGGTCATCATGTCCAACACGATAACCAACGTGTGTGCAACAGATAAGCCCTTGCGCACGGCTACACAACACTCATGAGGGGTGCTAGCTAGCCGCGGGCATGAGACGTTTAGGGGTGGTCGTCGTGTTCAACACGACAACCACCGACAGTGCAGCCCTTGCCCACAACTACGCAACACTCATGCGGGGTGCTAGCTAGCCGTGGGCATGAGACGTTTACGGGCGGTCGTCGTGTTCAACACGACAACCACCGCTAGTGCAGCCCTTGCCCTCGACTACACAACACTCAAGCGGGGTGCTAGCTAGCCGTGGGCATGAGACGTTTATGGGCGGTCGTCGTGTTCAACACGACAATCACCACCACTACAGCCCTTGCCCACGGTTACACAACACTCACGCGGGGTGCTAGCTAGCCGTGGGCATGAGATGTTTATGGGCGGTCGTCATGTTCAACAGGACAACCACCGCCAATGCAGCCCTTGCCCACGACTACACAACACTCACGCAGGGTGCTAGCTAGCCGTGGGCATGATACGTTTACGGGCGGTCATGGTGTTAAACACGACAACCACCGCCAGTGCAACAAATGCACAACCCTACCTTGCAAAGTACATGATGACACCGTCAGGGGACAGTCGTGTTCGACACGATGACGGAGACATTATCGGGTGCAATGCGACTCCGGAAAGCCGTTACTTATGCGTTTGTTGTGTTCGATGCGACAACTGCAAAGCCGAAACTACCCCGTGGCGCTTCATGGTCTCAAATCGGGGATCGGGAAAAATCCTCACCGTTTGGCCGCTGTCCTTCTAACTCTGCTCGCCTCGCAGAATGGTGCCGACTCTCTCTTCCACTCCGAGATCCGCTATGAAGGTGCTCCTCGCCTTGGAACAACGCCCAGATAGCTCGGCGCCGTCTCGACCCCACTCGCTCTCTTCTCTTCTCTTCCGCTCCGAAATCCGCTCCAACCGTGCTCCTCGCCTTGGAACTTGGCCAGGCCCCACTCACTCTCTTCTGCCACGCGACAAGAGAGTGAGAGCAAAAATGAAAAATGGACAAGAAGGCCCACTCTTGTTTATATACTTTGCAGCTTGTCTCCTCCCGCGAACCGACGACCGTCCAATCGAGTCGAACCGATGGTGGTGATGGCGTTGTGCCAGATAGCGGGGACAAGTGGGTGTTTTTCGTTGGCCTGCCTTTGACTCAGCAAACGTCGCAAACAAAATCCGACCTGCGCTGAAGTCTGACACGCATGCTGAATCACAAATGAGAATGCAAAATGGAGGAGGGGGCCTACTTGTACTTATATACTCTGGAGCACGTCTCCTCCAGCGAACCGTCGGCCGTCTGATCGAATCGAACCGACAGTGTTGATGACCCTGTGCCACAAAGAGGGCATGAATGTTATACTATGAAGCCTGTCTCCTCCCGCAAACCGTCGACCTTCTAATCAAATTAAAACGACGGTGTCGATGGCCCTATGCCACAAAGGGGGCACAAACGGGTGTTTGTCACTGGATGCCTCGTCCTTTCAAAACACCTTCCGCTCGAGCAATAACCTCATTTGACGAGTGGGTGCGCTGCGACGAACGCTTTTGTGTTCCTCATTATCGGCGATCGGGTGTGGTGTGGCGAACGTTCGTCTGCGGAACGAGTTGCCGCTGGCAGCACTGGCCAAGCAAATCGGCTACTGCGTGAATCGGCGATCTGCTTCACAAGATCGTGGTCCGTTGTCTAGGTAAATGACCCACCGTCTAACAGTGCCCGACAACTACCTCTCGCTTGCTCGTCTTGGAATCGTCGGTCTGGAGACTGCAGTACTTGGGAGGGGTTTGTGCAAGCTGTTGATATCTATGATCGACGGTCTCTATATTTCCTCTCTCGTTTTTTGTTTGATGACGTCAACAAAGTGCCCGCAGTGCAGGTTTCATGGCTTGATATGACCCCTCTACCCCTTATGGATGATGTGGTCGTCGTGTCCAACCCGATAACCAGTCGTGCAAGGTGCCCAAAACGTCCAGTGCATGAGGTGGTTGTCGAGTCCAATCTGATAACCATTCGGGCGAGCAGCCCTATACATCTCGTGCATGAGGTTGTCATCGTATCCAACCCGATAACCTTCCGGAGGTCATCGTGTCCAACACGATGACTCAACCTCAAGACAACCTGCCAAACAGTCACATTGTCGAACACTTCCTCGGCTTCATAAGACCCCCGTGTGCATGATGTGGTAGTCGTGTCCAACACGATAACCAGTCGTGCAAGGCGCCCAAAATGTCCAGTGCATGAGGTGGTTGTCGTGTCCAACCCGATAACCATTCGGGCCAGTTGCCCTATACATCTCGTGCATGAGGTTGTCGTCGTATCCAACCCGATAACCTTCCGGTGGTCATCGTGTCCAACACGATGACTCAACCTCAAGGTAACCTGCCAAACAATTTTATTGTCGGACACTTCCTCGGCATCATATGACCCCACTACCCCCTGTGCATGATATGGTCATCGTGTCCACCCCGATGACCGGGCGTGCAAGGTGCCCAAAACATGTAATGGATGAGGTGGTCGTCGTGTTCAACCCGATAACCAGTCGGGCAAGATGCCCAATAAATCTCGTGCATGAGTTTGTTGTTGTCTCCTTCCCGATAACCTGTCGGCAGTCATCGTATCCAACATGATGACCCAACCTCAAGATAACATGACCAACAGTCACGTTGTCGGGCATAACCTCTCGGCGTAACCCGAAGGTGACCAGTGGTCGTTGTTCCTTCTGTGATGCTTGCCACAGGTCGTGGTGTCAACCGTGATGCCTGATCTTTGTTCAACCTTATAACGGTGATTGTGTCCATGATGTGGTCATCGTGTCCAACCCAATAACCAGTCGGAAAAGGCCCCCAATGCATCCCGTCTATAAGGTTGTCGTTGTGTGCGAAACGATAGACTGTCCGGCAGGCGTCTTGTCCAACAAGATGACTCAACCTCGATGCATGATTTGTGTCGTCATGCCCGACACAACAACCTACCAGTGGTTGTCGTGTCCTGCCGTTCGTGATGCCTGAACTTTGGTAAACAACTTTGATCGTGACCAACTCGTCGACGTTCGCGTGAATGACCTATGTTTTCATAAATCACATAACCTCTCTGCATAACCCGAAGGTGACCAGTGGTTGTTGTCCCTTCTGTGATGACTGCCATACGTCGTGGTGCCAATCGTGATGCCTGACCTCTGTTTAACCTTGCAATGGTGATTGTGTCTATGATATCGTCGTCGTGTCCATAGGCTGGAACCAGGAAAGGTGCGCAATGCATCTCGTCTATGAGGTTGTCGTGGTGTGCGAAATGATAGACTGTTTGGCGGGCGTCATGTCCAACATGATGATTCAACCTCGATGCATGATTTGTGTCGTTGTGCTCGACACAACAACCTGCCAGCAGTTGTCGTGTCCTGCCATCCGTGGTGCCTGAACTCTGGTAAACAATTGTGATCGTGACCGACTCGTCGACCTTCGAGTCAATGACCTATGTTATCAGAAATCTATTGCAGTCATAGTCGACTTTTTAAGGCACTTCATACGACAGACACTATTCGGCATACGCTCTCTATAACAACTGTCGCATTGGAAAACGTTTATCCGAGAAAGGTATCATTAATCCTCTATAATA